CCTGGAGAGGGTGAGGTTTCAGGAGGCGTGGGACCTCAGACAGGTACAAAGCCATGGACTCCACCCTCCAAACCATCCATTCCCTCTGAGGAACCACCATTGCCAATCTCCAGGTGAGGGCTGAAGATCACTCAAAATTACAACTGTTCTTTAGGTAGCAGAGATCAGTTCCTCTGGAGAAAATGGTGGAGTCAGTGTCATTATACCCTGCTGAGGTCACCACAGCAAATTGACACTGAGTGTCCAAGGCCGGGGCACCCGCCCAGAGCCTCTTTCTAGAGGCCGTTGTATTTATTTCCAGCATGGTTGATATATGATTAAGAGTTTAGAATGCGAGCTGCCATGAATCCAGTACTTCCATGGGACAGAATCCATCCTCACCTTTGGCTGCAAGTCATGTCCTCAACCAGACCCAATTCAGGGGACTGCTCCCATAGTGGACACTTGGTACAGTGGTCGCAGGCAGCTTCGGTTCCCTGAGGTTCCACAGGGCAGACAGATCAACCCTGCTTGCTTTGTTGGGAATTTGGTTCCCAGGGGGTCTGCAACAGGAAAGCCTGCCTTTATAAACATGAATGCCCCTTATGTAAGAGAACCCACTCATTCACAGTGTGTTCCAAGGGGAAGCCCTGTAGGAATCAACTTCGGGGGGGGGGGAGGTGGTTCCTACCCTGCTGCGGGAAAAGGGTCCCAGCCCGCTAAAGCTGAAGGTTCTTGAAGCTTGGCTGCAGTGGTACCCCAATAGGGAGGATAGCATTTATTCGTTAGAGGGTTTTCAAGTTGGATTTCATATTCCTTTTCATGGCCTGAGGGCCCCGTTCATGGCTCATAATCTTCTATCCATGAAGGGCATGGTGGGTGTGATTAGGAAAAAGTTTGAGAAGGAAAGACCTGAGGGACAGGTTTTAGGCCCCTTCCTCATCACTGCTTCCTAACTTAAGGGTTCCCCCTCTTGGGGTAGTGCCTAAGAAGGCAGCTGATGAATTTTGGCTAATTCACCACCTTTCATACCCTTGAGGTGAATCTGTCAATGACGAAATTCCTGCTCACTTATGCACATGAGGTACACCTCATTTGAACAGGCGGTTCATATTGTGCGACGTTGTGGTTGGGGGGCAGAGTTGGCGAAGTGTGATATTAAGTCTTTATTTCACCTCTTCCCCGTGCATCCTGATGATTTTGAGCTGTTAGGGTTTTCCTTTGATGTCCAGTTTCTTATGGATAGGGCATTGCCCATGGGATGATCTGTGTCATGCTCTGCATTTGAGCACTTCATTTAATTCCTGGAATGAGCATTCCAAGCCAAAATGGGTCTTCAGGATGTCGCACATTATCAGGACGACTTCCTTTTTGTGGGTCCACAGGGAACTGACAGATGTGTTCAGCTGTTGGTTGGGTTTCAGCAATTAGCTGAAGAGCTGGGGGTCCCATTGGCCCATGAAAAAACTGAGGGCCCTGTGCAATGGTTAGTCTTTTTAGGGGTGGAGCTAGACACAGTGGCCCAAATGTCCCGCTTGCCCATGGATAAGGTTGAGGGCTTGAGGGTCCATCTTTGCTCCTTTTTAAGGAAGCAGAAGGCCACCTTGAGGGAGCTACAGCAGCTGATGGGGAAAGCCTTTTTGTGGAGGCTCTGCGATGCCATGGCAGGGCTGTGGCTCCCGCATCATAGAGTACACATCAACAGTGACATGCGCACCAATTTTTTGGTTGGCAGGAATTTTTGGATTCCTTCAATGGAGTCTCCTTTTGGAGGCAGGAGTTAAAGCTTGAGGCTGAGCTTCAGGTTACCTCTGATGCAGCGGGGTCACACGGGTTTGGAGTCTATTTCAGGGGCCACCGGTGTGCAGAGGAGTGGCCTGGGGAATGGGTCTAAGCTGGTTTTACTAGGGATCTCACATTTTTAGAGTTTCCCCCTGTATTAGTGGTGATTTGGCTGTGGGGAGATGAATTATCGGATCACACGGTCCATTTCTTGTGCAACAATTTGGCAGTGGTTCATATGATCAATTCCCTCACATCCAAATCACCAAGGGTAATGAGGCTAGTCTGCACCTTTATGCTGCGATTCCTTAGGTTCAACACACTGTTTTTCCTCGGCATGTGCCCAAAGTGGACAATGGGGTGGCTGATGCTCTTTCTCACAAACAGATGGTGAGGTTTCATCAGCTTGCTCTAGAAGCTGGTCATCTGTTGGCAAGGATGACCCCGGAGCTCTGGCTGGTTGGAGGCCGAGGCTTGCAGAGTGATAGGCCTTGCCATTGCCCCTAGCACACAGAAAGGGTATGAATCTCCAGTTTGCAAATTTGATGAATTTAGGCATAAGGGAAGTTATCCCAGGGTTTGACCCATTTTGGTGGAGCAAGGTATCCACTATTGTGTGTCTTTAAAGGAAACCGGCTTGGCTGTGCGTTCCATTCGGGGCCGGTTTTCTGCCCTGGCTTTTGCCGGCAAAGCTTTGGATTTTCAGGAAGTTACCAACAACTTCTGGAGCCAAAAGATGGTTGAGGGTTGGTCCCGGGAAGGGGGAATTTAGAAGGATGAGAGGCAGCCCATTTCCCCAGCAGTCCTCAAGGGGTTGCAGGCAAACTGGCGTGCGGTTTGCACCTCTGGATATGAGGCTTGCCTTTTTCATGCAGCTTTGTTGCTTGCATTCTTTGGGGTGCTCCGGGTTAGTGAGCTGGTTGCTCTGTCTAAGACTGACTGGTCTTGCAAAGCTTTGCAGGTGTGGGACCTTCAGTTCATCGGCAAAGGGGCACATGTAACAATCAGGAGCTCTAAGACTGACCAGCGATGTAAAGGATCAGTGGTGAAGTTAGGTACCTGTTCCGATATGGAGCTCTGCCCGGTATTGACCTTGTCTCAATACATGGCATTGTGGGGAAGGGCGGATGGTTACCTTTTTAATCATGCTGACGGTAGTCTGCTGACAAAGTACCAGTTTTGGGCCATTACTGCCTGGGCTTTGATCAAATTGGGCCTCTCTGGAGTGAAATTTGGCACTCTTTCAGGATCGGCACTGCTTCCACCACTGCAGCCTTAGGCTATACCACAGCTGACATTCAGCATGTGGGGAGATGGCGATCCTCTGCTTACAGGGGCTATATACGCCCCCTTGCTTTTCTGTGATTGTTCCATTGTTGTGTTCGGTAGTTCATTGTTTTTTCTTCCGAGGCGCTGTGGTCTGCAGCAGGAGGAGATGGATTCTCATCTGTGGACACAGCTATATCTTCTGGGTGGGTCATCAGGGCAATAGATCGGCCATTGGCTCTCAACTGGGCCTTAGTGAATGGGCAATGGTGAAATGGAGGGGATGCCATGGCCTATGCTATTCGGGTATCCTCCAACTTCTGTTTGGGAGTAGCACTGGCTTTCTACCCGATGTCCTTGTGATTCATTTGGGTGACAATGACTTGGATTTATGAAAGGAAAGGCCCTTGTATTGCAAGCCCGGGATGACCTGAGTGTTATTCAGCACCAGTGGCCAGACACGGTACTTGTTTGGTTGGGCATGGTTCTTCATCTGGTATGGTGCAGCACTTGGGATCCCAAGGAGATCAAAAGAGCCCAGTGCAAGGTGAATGGGGAGCTTAGAAATATATTAGAGGGTCACTACCTGCCTCACCCCAGATTCAGCTTGACTGCCCAGAGCTGTACAGGGGCGATGGCATTCACCTTTCTGAAAGGGGGAATTATATTTTCCTACAAGATTTGCAGCAAGGGCTTCAGGTGGTCTTAGGTTTATGAGTGGGTGCAGGGAACTAAACAGAGGCTTGTCCCTTGTAGTGGCAGAGTTATGTCTTTGGGGGGAGTTTATGCAGCTTGGTAAGCACCAATCAGCAACCCTATGGGGGTATAGGGGTCTGACAGGATCATCCCTGCGGCAGTGCGGCCAGGGATGATGATGGCAGACTGCCTTTGGGGATTGCCAGGATGGATACTCCGCACAGGCCATGCGTGGTTGTGTTGTAGGGATCCTCACGGCAGATCCCATTGCTGGGCCTGCCGGGGGTGAGCCACTTACAGATGGCTCCAGCCAGGGGGCAGGGGGCTTTGTCCGTTGTACGGCAAGGATGGGGCCAGGGGAACCCAGGCCTTGACTGTGCCACTGTTTCCTTTTTGCCCTTGCCATTTTTATGTAAGCTAAATAAAGTGGCCCTTAGTTTCCCAACGTACTGTTGTCTGACTCTTTCTTCCGTTGGGAGGGGGTCAAAATTTGTGCATTTTTGCACTGTCACCTGGGAACAAGAGTTTAATCCAGTCAGTTCTGATCATACACAAACATGACTAATGCCACACTGATCATGCAGGTGCAAAAGCAGCATATACACTTGTGATCCTAGAGCCTATGAGTAGTAAAAGGACACACATTGAATAATTAATGAGGGGGGCGTGGCAGAAGCCAGGGTCACCATGAATATGTATGAAGGAGGCGTGGCGGAAATGACGTCCCCCATGCATATGTAATGAACTTGCGTAACAGGATATGGAAGCAGCCAGGCAACCATGAATATGTATGAAGGAGGCGTGGCGGAAATGACGTCCCCCATGCATATGTAATGAACTTGCGTAACAGGATATGGAAGCAGCCAGGCCACCATGAATACTAATGAGGTGAGATAACCAGATATGCCACCATGAATGCTTAATGAAGGGGGTAGAAGTGACCCACATGACCCTGACCCCATCACATGACCCCATCACATGACCCCATGACCCCACCATCTGACCCGCCCCAGCACTGCCCCTTGTCTAGCGCCACCCACTGTTGCGACATTGAACTTCCGCCTGCTGCAGCCCCCACCCCAGAAAGGGGGCAACTGCCAGTGGGAATGCCCAGGTATGACCATGTGACCCCTCTAAAAACACGCCCCGTCACCCCTGACCAATTGCCAGTGGTCTGGGGCACACATGGGTCAGGGCCCTGCCCAGGAGGAAGTGATTGAGGAAAGAAGCCATTTCGAGCTAGCAGGCACACGGTCAAGATCTTGCTCGCTGAGGACATGGAAATGAACACGCCTGTCAGACCCCTGGTCCTTACAACCCCTCCACCAGTGGTGAAACCGAAATATAAACGACAGTATATCAGCAGTGATGAGGATGAAGAATTTGTACCTGCAAAACTTTACTTTCCTCTAGCCGTGCATGATGAAGAAACGCGGCTCAACCAGGATGCCATGGAAGGATCCTCAACCTGGCAGCCATGCGAGGATTCTCAAGTATGGGATGGGCTACTGGAAGAACTGCCAGATTCCTGGAAACTGGTCCCTGCAGAGAATTCCCCAGCACAGGTAAGTTGTTTTTTTGAAAATGTGTGGGGAGGTGGGAACTGTGATGTGGAATACAAAACAGGCATAGGTTCTGTAAGTTTTAAAAAGTAAAAATGGGGCCCTTATTTTTCCAGCCCCTGGCCACCACTGGTGATGAAGCTGCAAGTACCAGCAGGCCATCTATTGCGGAGGAGGAGGAGGACAGCCAGATCTGGGACATTCCAGACGCTTTAATAATAGCCGAAATTCCAGATTATCGAGATCCAATCTCCACAGAGAATGCCCAGACAGCGGTGAGTTGCAGAAAAAAATGGAAGAGTGAGAAAAAATAGCTGGGGTATGATATAAAGCCTTTGCTTAGTGTTTTTAAGTTGCTTAAAAATGTTTTCTCAAAACTTTCTAACAGAGCCAAACAGCAGAAGCTGCAAAGCCACTCTCTTTTGGAAGATCCCCTGGTGAAAGAATTATGGCAGCCAGAAAATTGCTAAAAATGAAATCTATTGAGAATACAGCCTCTATTACACCTTGGCAACGTGAGCAAAACATGAGGAGCATTATAAGAGCAACTGTATATGGTGTTGTCAAACATTGTATGAGTGAATGTGCATATCAATCCTGCGAGGGCTGTTGTTTAGAGGCCCCAGCCCAGGCGGCCCACCAATGTCTTGAGTGGACCCATAAAACAATAGACAGAAAACTTAAATTTGTATGTAGTGAACTGTGCGCAAATCCTATAGTTTTATTGATAATGTCAATTGCGTATGCTACGAAATGTTTGTCATTCACGCAAGATCACATGGATATGGTGTATGATTTATTAAATAAAATTGAAGGGGCAGTTAATTCACATCAGGCTCTTGAAACCATCCTGCAACCCACAGATAAGGAAACCTTAAAAATTGTAAAAAGTAATATTAAAGACCTACATTATAAGTCCTTTTTTTCGCGCCAAAAGACTCCAAAATTAAATGGGGTCACAGTGATGTAAATAATAATAATAATAAAGTAACAAATTGTTGTTGTAAATGAACTGGAAATAAAAAAG